TCGTCTGAGGAGACTCGCCACTGCTCCATGATCTCAGCGCAGCCCTAGAGTTAGAACGAATAAAGTTTCGTGGGGAAGTGACTTGCTCACGCTCTCCCGGTCTGTTACTGCCTAAGCCAAGCCCCAAACCCAGACCTTTAGTTTCCAAATCCCGCACCCGGTTCCCCTCTCCGAGCTGCCACTACTGACACTCGCCTCCCTTTGTGTGGCGTTTCGGGTTCTCTACGCGCTTTCCTGCACACGCTGCCTCATTTTCCCTTTTCGCAATCCCGTCGGCCGGCCGTTTTACAGATGAGGACTTGAGGCTGGGAGAGGTGGAGTGACTTGCCCGAAGCCACGGAGAGCTGATATCGGGGCTGATTGCACTTTTGAGTTGGATAAGTTGGCCTCAGGCTTAGGCAGAAAAACAGGTGGGACGGGCTGGAGGTTGGCTGTTTCTTGATGGTTCTCAGAGAAGATTGGTCTGTATCTGGGTGAGGAACTGCAGAGATGATTTGCAATTATATGCTCCAAACTTCCTTTGGACCCTCAAATATGGTTAGTCATTTCCAGCCTTTAGGCGCTCCAGTTCACCTGTATGAAAAAGTGGGGACTGTGACCAATAGTTTTCTAGCACACGTTAAGATAGTTCAGATGTCCTTGTAAACAGCCAGACTGTAAGATGTTAAATACTGTTTTCTCAGACAGTTGTTCACTTAGCAGATGTTTATTAACACCTCCTGTGTGCCTGTGGCTAGAAAATAGATTCTCTTACTGTCTGAAATGTATCCCCCACACATCCACCACAACTGCCCCTGCCACCACATCGTGCACCAATCGGCACTTCACCTGGCTTCTGGTTTGTAATAGGCACGCAGTATTCATTTACTTTGCTATTATCTGTGAGTAGTTCTACCCTAAGTCTTCTCTCTAGTAACTGATGTGGATGGAATTGGTGCTGGGTCCTCCTGTCACATCTAAGCCCGTACAGGTTTCACAGGTTTGCTGGACAGTTACTGAATGAGCCACCTTCCCAGGACGTGCACATCCTGCAGCCACTCACTGCTCAGTTCCCGACTGCAGACAGTCTGTACTGTCTGTTGAATCTGTACTTTTTTGACGTTGTGTGCAGAGTCTTTTGTTGGGCATTGGGTATGAATGTAGGGAAGGGAGGATATATGGATCCCTGGAAAGAGCAGGGACTGTACAGCCAGGCAGGCCTCATTGTTGGGTTCTGTACCTCCCTGGCTAGATGACTTCTGAGCTGGGCAGTTTCCTCATTTGTAAAAATGGTTCCTGGTAGGTGGTTGAGAGGATTAAATATGAGAGGAATAGAAACCCAAATCCCTCCCCCTTGGGGACATAATAGGTAAGCATCAGGTCCTAGAGTCAGACTGCCAACTTTCAATCCCTGCTTCTCCCATTTTCCATATGATCTTATGAAAGTTACTTAACAGTTCCCTGCCTCTTTTTCCTTATTTATAAAACATGGATCATATTTACTTCATTAGGCATTGTCAGGACTAAGTGGATTAAAGTATCTAAAGTACATTCAAAAAGCATCTGATGGATACTAAGTGCTTAATAGATGTTAGTTATCATCATCATCATCATTATTGAAAGCTTTTAAGTAGAAAAGTAATGTCCAATCTTTAGTGTGAGAGTATTGCTTTGGTATCATGTGAAGATTGGATTGGGGGAAAGTGCAGGGAAGGAGACTAGTGTAGAAGAAACTGGATTGCATGCTGTGTTTGGGCTAAACCTGCTGGAAACTTGCATAGCCAACAAAGAGAAAAACTAAATTGGGGAGAGGGGTACCTGTCAAGAACTGTGAAAGGTCTGAACAAATTTCAGTGAACAAATGTCATTTCCTACATTAAATAAATGCATGCTTCCTAGAATAAATCTCCTTACGAGGAACTTTGCATGGGTGTCCCAGGAAGGACTTTGTGCTTAATAATTTAGGAGGAACCTGTGACCATCTCAGAAAACTTCTTTTTCTCCTCTTAGTGGAAATAGCAAAAGACTCAGCCTGTAGCGGTGTAAATAACCTCTTCCCACAGGTCATCGTGGAATGTGCTTGTTCTTCAGCACAGCCATTCTGTTTTGTGTTTATCACACCATATCAGAAAGGTGTTATTATCATTATTGCCTGGCCCCCAATTGTTCGTCAAAAGATTCCTTGAAAATTAGAAATCAGGAGAAAATTAGATAAGATGGGGATGATTTTATGATACTTCATATAGTTCATGGTAAGGTGCTTCCCTTCCCCACACATAGAACATCGCTAGTGACTTCAGTTGTTGAAGACCCACAGATGACTCTCCCCAGGGCAGCACTGGGCACCAGCTGCAGTATGGGCCTGCCACATTTCTTCCTTTAGATGTGAAGCATCACTGATTTGGCTAGTCGAGGCACCCCTTCTTTGGTTTGCTTAGTTTAACCTTCAGAGGATGACTGTCTGTCCACTGCTTCCTTGTAATTAGATGAAGGTGACAGGAAGCTTCAGTGAGAAAGTTGGGCCTTGAGTAGCTGGAGGTGAGCAGCTCTGGGCCAGATGCTTATCTGGAAAGTCCTTGGAGCCATGGGGAGAGGAGGTAAGGGAACTTTTCAGTTTAGGCCAGGGCTCTGGTCCTAGTACTCACTGCTGGTTTCTTTATTGAAATCAGGTACAGGAAATTAGTCCTGGAACAGAGAGGAGGGAAATGAGTTGTTACATTAGCTTGGAAGGAAGAATCACAATTTAAAATGAGGCATCTGCACAAAACTCTCTTGGAGGGCAAAGGAATAATGTCTTGTTTTTCCTTATGCCTCTGAAGCACCTAATTCAGAATTGACCCTCAGTAATAGTTAGAACTAAACTATGTTTTCTCCCTATAGAGAGATAGCCTCAACATACACTTTCTAACCTAAAGACTCCATGGATTAAAATCCACTTTAGATAATCCGGGGCCTGCTTTGTGGGCCTGAATCCTTTGGACTGGACATCTGTCCAGAGCCAGCTATCTCTCTGCCTTCCACAAGCAGATCCAAGAGAGTGAGGGATTCCTAGCCCTCCCTGGTCATCATGTGTATGCTAGGCTCCACTGGGCTGCTTGCCCTCTGGTCCACACTACTTACTTCCAGGACCTGCTGGAGTACCTGGTGAGGGTCTGAAAGCCGTGCACAGTTGTACTGTTTCAGGTGTGACGGGGCAGGGCAGTTAAGAGACTTGCTCAAAACCTCCCTCTCTCCCCCTCCCAAACATTTACTGAGGCCAAAAGTGCAGCATGTATTTCAGGAACATAAGAGAGTCTGTAGTGGGAGGGGAGGCTGCAAGCAGAGGGGGCCAGACTAGGGGTTGGACTTTGTTAGGTAGCCCTTAGCAGTTCTTGAAGCAGGAGGGTAACATAATTGGCTCTATGTTTTAGAGATCTGCCCCTAGCAGGAGTGTTTATTTGAAAAATTCCTGATGACTAATGCCTGCCTTATAACCAGTACTACTGCCTGCTGGGATGAATAGCTGTCTTTTCAAATGCAAGGAGAAGGGCAATGATTATAAAAAGCCTGAACACTGAACCCCCTAAAGCTTCTCAGGAAAGGAAACTGGTGTAACCAGGGAGCTGAGTGTATGGAATTGAGGGAAATAGCTTACCTGTGCTACTGCATCCACAACTGTATCACCTCCCTCCCCAAAATGTACCTTTTGTGTTGTTCAAATAGATAAAAGTACCAGCACGAGGCATCTTGGTGGTCTTTCTTGCCAGATAAGCAGTGTGGTGTGTGAATACGCTGTCTGCCGTCCTTGGTGTGTGTGCTCACCCTCTGGTCACTAGAGGGTGCATTATGTCCCTGGATATGACTGGAGTCCTAATTTTTTTCCTCACCCTGGGCACAGTACTCACCCTTCCTTAACTCTTGGAGTTCTTTATTTTTGACCCATATTTGATTTATTGGTGTTTTAACCAGGTATAGTGAAGTTCAAATCCAGCCTTCACCATTACAGCTCTGTGATTTGAGATAGTTATTCTCCTTGAATAACTTAAATCTTAGTTTCTTTATAAAATGTGGGTAATAACCTAATTCTCTGAGTTGTGAGCGTTAAAGGAGGTGTGTCAGAGTTTATGGATCTATAGTAGGTGCTCAAAACTGTTAGTTGAGATCACCTTCTTTGTAAAATCTTTCATTAACCCTGATAACCAGTTGCCCCTCATGTGGTCATGGTAGACTTCTGAAACTCTCAATACAACACTTCAGACAGCCATTACAGATTATCAGGAGGGAAATTGTTGAGAAATATGAACACATTAAGGTTGCAGAGGCATAATCTCCCCTGCCTCTCCTTCTACAAACGTGTACTCTTCAGGCCCAGTTGGAATGAACCAGAAAACTTGAATTTTCCCCTTTCTCCAGTCTCTGTTTGGAGATGTGAAATTTGTTTTCAAGAATCTCATTGTTCCTTTAGTTATTCAAACTAATTGC